ATGGGGTAAGCTGCGGGTGGGGGGGGGGAACGTTTACCAGGAATCCAGAGTATGCCTTGTCTGCAAGCCCAGGAAATGACTGCTACTTGGTGCTCCTGGAGGGGCAGTGAATAACCATGTGTGCACAGGAAGGGCAAATGTGGAGAGCCAAGGTTTGACCAGTCCAACTCCATTCTGATGCAGTCTTGGGGCAAACCCTTGCTACTTGAAGCTCTTGGGCAGACAACTGACTGAGGTTGCTGCCATTCTCTAAGGATCTTAGCAGTGTGTGGCCTGTCTGATAGAGAAACAGGGTTGGGTGGCAGGGCCAATGGCCTCCATTCCTGGGCTCAGCTATGGTGCCCCTACCCAGGCCCAGAAAACTCCCACCCATGCAGAAGCCTTCTTATCAGCACCATAGAACCTGGACATCACTAATGAAAAGCTCCTGGGTCCTGACCCAGGGAGGGCGTGTCCTCCCCTGGAGCCCTCCAGACTGTGGGCATCTTGCAAACTTAGAGGAAACTGTGCCAGACACCCTGCTGCCCCCAAGCCTGTGTTGCATGCATCTCCTTCTCACCCCCACTCAGCTCACCTGAGAAGTACGTGCCCTGGCAGGGTCCAGAGGAGAAAGAAGGAGAGGGTTGCAGGAACAAGAGTTGTCATTCTGCGGGGACCTTGGAGCCCTTTCTCAGCCTGGCTGCCAAGGTGAGAGGGGATATCCCTGCGGAACGCCAAAAGTACAGAGCCTTCCTCCAACTTGGGCTGCTGGCAAGGAGCCCGTGAGGCCGGGCTAGGAGTAGCGCTCTCTCTCCTCTTCTGCCTCTTCTCCTCTGCCCTGTCTTTACCAGTCGGGGGCCAGAACTATTCCCCTGGAAATGATCCTGACACAGATAACCCTACTGGCTCCTGCTGGAGCTCGCCTTGGGCTCCGAAGGGCCTCAGCCTGCCGGCCAGGGGAGCTAGAAAAGATTCTCTTTGGGCAGCAATCACTCTCCAAACCCTGGAGAGTCTTGGAGGGGAGGGAGGAGGGAGACCGGTAGGAAGATGTTTCCCTCCCTCCCACCTCCCCCCAGATGCACCCTCCGAAAGCAGCAATTTAAAGGCACAGTCGCCAGCAGCTGGAGCGGGGTTCTAAGCTTGTCGGTGTGCTGGGGAGGAGCTTGGGCTGCCGCTCAGGTTTGGGATGGTAGTGGAGGGGGGTGGATGAAGGGGCACTGTCCTGCTTCTAACTCCCCATCTGGAGGAGGGCAAGTCGGCAGCCCTGCTCCTCCCTCTCTGTCAGCTTTCCTTTTAGCCTAGAGCCTAGCAGGGACCAAACAGTAAAGTCCTAATGATTTTTGTAAGGGGGACGACCTGAGAGGGTTCAGGAAGAGCCACTGGGTATTCTCAAGCTGACAGCTTCAGGTCTGAGAGGAGGAGAGGAGGTGAGGAGGCTGCCGGGCAGGGGCACCTTTTCCCCATTCCTCTGGATGGAGGTGCAGAGAATGGATGGGAGAGAGAGGAACTTCAGAGCCCTCCTCGTATGTGATCTCATGGACTGACAGTCTGTCCGTCCATCCATCTGTCTGCCTGCCCATATCCTTGCCATTGTGCCTGCTTTCCCCTGCCTGTTCCGGCCCTGAGATCATCTCTGGTGAGCTTGGAGCCCTCTGTAGCTCTCAAAATCCTTCCTTCCAGACACCCCTTCCCCAGTCTGTCTCTCAAGGAGGGAGGGCTGTCCCAAATGAGTGGGGGCAGGGCAGAGCGAGGCTGGGACACAGCAGGCTTTGCAGGCTTCAGAGGGGCCACGGGCAGCCCTCAGACCTTAGCCCTCAGCTCTCAGTCCTGCATGGAGAGAGGCCGATGGGATGGGTGGCCCCCTCCCTTGACTCCCGCATGCACGTGTGCCCACAGCATCCAGGTGCTTAAGCAGCTCCCTTTTCTCCTGTCTGACCTCTCTCCAAACTTTCAAGTAAACACCTCCCGGACTTCCTCCTAGTGCCTCTCCCACCCATCTGCCCTCACTTTTTTTTGTCTGTTCCTCTTAACTGTCTTCCTCCCTCTCTGCTTGCAGTTTCCTCCATCTATCCTCTCTCCATCTCAGTCTCCCTCCTCTGTTTCTCCTCTGTATCTCACCATTTGTGCCTCTCTTTCTCTTCTCTTCACCCCACTTTCACTCTATCCCTGTTTTCTTCTCTCAACCTGCCATTTATCTTCACTCTCTCATTCTCTCCTCCTAAATTACAGCAGTGAGAAGCTTAAGGGCTCCATTCTTCTTCCATGGGAACCCTCTCACCAGCTCTGCTGAGGCCTGAGTGTATACTGGGGAGAAGGGTCTGTGTAGGTGACCGTAGCCTTGCCAGAGAGGGGCTTGGGAGATTGGAAGCTCTTCTATTGGGTCCATTGACTGTAGAGAGGAGGGATTAATATTGGGTTATTGAAAAAGTTATGAAGCATTATTGCACAGAAAAAATATGTCAGACTTTTCTAATAACCCAATAGTAAGCAACCTAAGGTGGAACTCATGTTGCAGCTCCCTTTTGGCTATGTTATTATTATTTTTTAAAGAATTATTTTATTTAACTTTATTTATCCATTTTTTAATGACTACAGTAAGCTATGTAACCCCAGCTAGGTGCTACTTTATAGTATGTTCATTCTACTCACTGAGGTTTATACATTTATTTTTTAATTTGACCAGAGAGGGATAGAGTTGGGGGGAGGTAGTGAGAAAGCAAGTTGTCAGGTCTGGGACTCGAACCATGGTCGGTTATGTGGAAGTCCAGTGCCCTTAACCACCACTCCACCTGCCGGCCGCCAGCTGTGTTATTATTAAAGAAGAGAAAATTTTC